ATGGGAACACAGGGATATGGGAACATGGGAACACAGGGATATGGGAATATGGGAACACAGGGATATGGGAACATGGGAACACAGGGATATGGGAATATGGGAACACAGGGATATGGGAACATGGGAACACAGGGATATGGGAATATGGGAACACAGGAACACAGGGACATAGGAACACAGGGACATGGAACGTGGGAACACAGGGATATGGGCTCACAGGGACATGGGGACACAGCGATATGGAACATGGGAACACAGGGATATGGGAACACAGGGACATGGGAATGCAGGGACACAGGAACACAGGGCTATGGGATCACGGGGATGTGGGGACATGGAGATGCACGGACACGGGAACGTGGGGAAACAGGGATATGGGAACATGAGGAAACAGGGATATGGGAATATGGGGAAATGGACACAGGGATGCAAGGACATAGAAATACAGGGACACGGCAACATGAGGATGCAGGGACACAACACGGGGACACTGGGACATGGGAATGCAGGGAGACAGGGAGACAGGGACATGGGAATACAGGGACACGGGAATGCAGGGACACTGGGACATGGGAATGCAGGGACACAGACACTGGGACATGGGAATGTAGGGACATAGGGACACAGGGACACAGGAATTCAGGGACACTGGGGCACAGGGGCACAGGAATGCAGGGACACTGGGACATGGGAATGCAGGGAGACAGGGAGACAGGGACATGGGAATGCAGGAACATGGGAATGCAGGGACACTGGGACACTGGGACATGGGAATGCAGGGACATGGGGACACAGGGACACAGGAATTCAGGGACACTGGGACATGGGAATGCAGGGACACAGACACTGGGACATGGGAATGTAGGGACATAGGGACACAGGGACACAGGGACACAGGAATTCAGGGACACTGGGGCACAGGGGCACAGGAATGCAGGGACACTGGGACATGGGAATGCAGGAACACTGGGACAGGGACACAAGGACACTGGGACATGGGAATGCAGGAACACAGGGACACGGGGACACTGCAGTCCTCCCCCTCCCTGCTCAGCATCTCCTGCTGCCAGGAACTGCTGACCCGCGTCCCAGGGGCTTCGCTCCGCTGCCTCGGCACATTCCGGAGGCTCCGCACAGCACCTGCCTGGAATGTCATGGCAGGGAGGCCACATGGAGGCTGAGATGCTTCCCAGGAATGCTATGGCAAGGAGGACATGATGCTTCCCAGGAACGTTGTGGTGGGGAGGCCGCGTGGAATCTGGGATGCCGTGTGGGAATGTTTTGGCAGGGAGGCCACGTGGAACGTGGGATGCTGCCTGGGAATGTCAGGGCAGAGAGGTGACATGGAACGTGGGATGCTGCCTGGGAATGTCAGGGCAGAGGGGTCACGTGGAATGTGGGATGCTGCCTGGGAATGTGGTGGCGGGGCGGCCGCGGGAGCGCAGGATGCTGCCCCTCG